CCCCCAGTCCCTATCACCCGGCGTCACGCAGCAGGGGAGCGACTATAACTCACTGCCCCGGGGACCGTGGTCTTTCTCGGCAGTGCCAGAGCTGACCTGGTGTTTTCCTTCTTCCAGGATGTTGGCAAAACCCTGAGCAGGTACGAAACGTGTCTCTCTCCTCCCGCGCGGCTCTTCTGGACGGAGGTTTGGAACTGCTGCAGGCGGCCCAGCAGCAGCAGCCGGGGGGAGGTGGCTTTGTCCTGCTGAGTATTTGGGATTTCTCTGGAGCCAAAGGTTGCTGCCCCCCCCTGTTAAAGATGGGGTTTCTGTGCCCGTAACTGGGACACAGCTCCCCCGAGTTAGTTGCTGTAAGGGGTTGTCCCCCCCGTTTCCCTCCTGGCCCCAGGTGCTGGCTGGCTGCTGGGGTCAGAGCTCCTCTCCGTGTTGTTTCCCCCCAGCTGCGAGGCGGCGAAAGCCCCGATCCCGGAGCCGGTTTCCCCAGAGCTGCAGAGGACCGTTAAGAGCCTCACTGAGATGAGCCAGCTGGTCGTGGGTGCAGTGACCAAATTCAAAGGTAAAGCAAAGAAGCAGCGAGCGATACCTTGCTGTGTGGTTGGTGTCTGAGCCCCAGGAGGGTGTGCTGCTTTCCCCGGGGCACCGGGCGCTGCTGTCCTCCGTGCCGTGCTTCCCCTGGGTCGGCTGCAACGGGAGATCCTCGCTGCCTGGTGCCTCTGCCCGGGGTTCGGGAGCAAAACACGCCTGCTCCAGACGGGACCTGTCTCCGAGATGGGTTTTGATGGGCTGCGGGAGCTGGGGAGCGGGGTCCACATCTGGCTTGCTGTCCTCATGGGGAGCAGGAAAGATGCCACAAGAGGAGAGAGACTCAGGCATCTTCCTTTCCTTCCTCTAGTGAACCTGCTGAGCGAGATGGACAGAGAAAGGGGTAAGTTTCTCAAGCTGATGGGCACAAATGAGGGGAAAAAAAGCTTTCCGGAATGAGTTTCCTTATGTCCTCGGGGCAGAGATGGGCTCGCACCGCAACATCTAAATCCAGGCTCTGTCTAAATCCGGGTCCCTTCGTTTTGACTAGGCCTGCTATAAAAATCCAGGTCCGTCCCCATGCCAGGCAATACCCAGTGACACTCTAACACCAAACAAGGGCTGGGACAGCACGAGGCCCTCAGTTTCCTTGTCCATGGAGACTTTATCTTCTTTCGCTACGACGTATTAGACTGTGACTAGTTAAGCAAAGGGGCCGTACACATTTAGAGTTGACTTTTAGGCAGAGATCAGAAACGCTTTTGCAGATGCCCGGGGTCCGTGCAGTCCTGGCAGCATCGCAGGGCTTGGCGCTGGCTGGTTCTCTTTGGGCTGAGGCCGGGCTCTGCCCTCTCACTTTTTGGAACGAAGAACCTGATGCGCGAGATGAGCGTGCCTCAGTTTCCCTCCCGCTGTGGTCCCCACCGTGAGCCGCAGCCCTGGAGGAGCGGACTTAGCAGAGGGCCCGAGATGGTGGCACTGCGGAGTGACAGCTCTGTGACCTTGTGGGATGGCCACGGGATGGCAGCAGAACATCCCACATGAACCGACAGCTCCAGCTGCAGTGAGATGACTCGGTGGAGCTGGGTTAGGAGCTGCTTTTCCCTTTGGGGAGCGCTCGCCCCCCTTGTCACTGGAGCAGGGACTGGCCTGGCACCAGTGCTGCCTCGCAGGTAGTGCTTCCTCACACCCACGGGGATACACTGCTCCCCCACACCCCGCCTGGCTGCAGCCCCGTCACGCTTAGACGCGGCAATATCCAGCGCAAAGCAGGTTTAGCGAAGTCCATCGCGCCTGTGCCCTGCGCGTGGGGACGCTGCGTGGCTCCGTCCTGCTTCGGGGAGCATTGCTTCGCCCATGGGTGCTGGCATGGAGGGCGGCGAGGACCCTGTGTCTCGTGCCACCCGAGGGTCCGTGGGTGCTGCCTGTGTGCACTCGCGGGGCACGAGTGCTCGCTGCGCTCACAGGACACGTCCCAGCCCCATGGAAGAGGAGGGAGAGGTTCTGGTTCGCTCCTCAGCAGGCAATGTACTGATGTTTCTCTCTCGTGCATTAGTGAACGTGACGCTGGACCCAGAGACGGCAAGCCCGTACCTCATCCTCTCGAAGGACCGCAAAACTGTGTGGCTGGGAGACGGACAGGAAAACCTCCCCGACACCCCCAAGAGATTCACAGGCAGCCCCAGCGTCCTGGGCTGCCAGGGCTGCCCGGCTGGGAGGCATTACTGGGAGCTAGAGGTAGGGGAGGGGGACAGCTGGGCTGTAGGGGTGGCTGTGGAGTCTGTGCAGAGGAAGGACTCGCTCAGCATGGCCATGGGGAAAATCTGGGCCCTGCGGCTGGACTGGAATCGCCAGTACACGGCACTCCACATGCCCCCCGCCCCGCTGGCACTGAAGGAAGAGCCCCGGAAAATCAGGGTCCACGTGGACTACGAAGCGGGCCAAGTGACCTTCTACAACGCGAAGAACATGATGCAGATCTTGCAGTTCAAGGCCTCCTTCACCGAGAAGGTCTTTCCGTACTTTTGGCTCTGGTCACAGAAAACCTACATCCAGCTCTGTGCCTGATGGGGCTGGATGCTTCCCAGTCCCCTGCCCGTGCCCTTGGCTAGCTGAGCAGGCAAGAGGCGTGGGAATGACGCAGCACGGCATTGCAAACTCACTGCAGCTCTGCTTGGGCTGGATCCCCCGTGCACGTCGCTGCATCTCCTCCTGCCAAGTCCTTTGGAGTATTAAAGATGTGTTGTCCTGCCTGCGAGTGTCTGCATGCTGGTATCCTGGCCAGATCTCACAGTGACCGTGTCCCACCTGTCCCTGCAGGCACCGAGGACACGCACAAATAAGCAGGAGAGAGGCAGGGAAGATGCTCCGATCGCCCGTGCCAGTCTTCGGCAGCGCTGCATGGCTTGCTTTGGCTGGGTGGTGGTGTGCTGTATTATGGGCAGCGTGGGGATGCAGCCACCCCCCCAACCCAGGAACTCGGGGTGGAGCCGCAGAGCTGCTAACAGTGGTGCTAACTGCTCACATAAAGCTGTAAAAAATGTTGCTTCAATGGAAAATGTTCAGGGAGGGGACAGGGCCGACCCGAGTGCTGGAGCGAGGGCAGAGCCGGAGCCTCTCCAGGCTGGAAGAGTGACGGGGGCATGATGGGGATCTGCAAGATCCTGGGTGGTCAGGGAGGGAGCAGACGCTATCTTGTCCAATGCGGGAAGCAGGAGCATGGTGTGAATCTGGTGGGTGGCAGAGCCCAGGCGGAGGGACGAAGCATCGTGCCCTGGAGGCGTGGGATCCGCTGCCCCAGGTCTTTATGTCTCTGCATCAGGCTGAGAACACTGGACCCAACGCGATCAGCCCTGCAGGCGGAGACTCTGAAACCACCACAGGGAGATCCAGCAGAGCCCATCTGCCAGGGACTGGGCTCGACGGCAGAAATCCGCAAACCCTTTTGTGAGGAGAAGATGCCCGACCTGCCGGAGCCATGCTGCGTGTCCTGAGCGCTTCCCTGTGTCACCCCGGCACTCCACCTGTAAAACGGGGCGGCGTGTTTTGGAGCTGGGAGCGCTTGCCCCGCACCGGCAGCGTCCACAACCGTGCAGGCACGAGGGACGACCCACGCAAGGAGTCACAGAATCACAGAATTTTCAGAGTTGGAAGGGACCTCTAGAGATCACCCAGTCCCACTCCCCTGCTAAAGCAGGACTGCCCGGAGCACATCCCTCAGGACTGCATCCAGGCGGGTCTTGAAAATCTCCGGAGAAGGGGACTCCCCCACCTCCCTGGGCAGCCTGTGCCACTGCTCGGTCACCCCAACCGTAAAGAAGTTCTTCCGTGTGTTGGAACGGAACTTCCTCTGTTCCAACTTGTGCCCGTCGCCCCTCGTCCTGTCACTGGGAACCACCGAGAAGAGTCTGGCTCCATCCTCCTCCAACCCACCCTTTAGATACGTGTATGCCATAATAAGGTCTCCCCTCAGCCCTCTCTTCTCCAGGCTAAAGAGTCTCAGCTCTCTCAGCCTTTTTTCGTTTCTGCCTCTGTCCTGGACCGTAGGCAGGGGACAGGGCAAGGGAAAAGGCCC